CATGGATGAGAATGTTCGCAGAAGTATTTTCTGTAACAGCCAAAATCTGGGGCCAACACTCAAGCTTGCTGGCGTGGGACTGAGTGGTAAGCACGACGGCAGATGACCCCCACATGCCCCCAAGCCTGAGCAGCAACAGAAGGACCTGCAGTGGGACTTAAGACAAAGCATTGGGAGAGGACTTCCTGGCAGAGCAGTGGATGGGAATCTGCCTGCCAATGCAGGGGACGTGCGTTCCATCCCTGGTCTGGGAACCACATGCCCTGGGGCGACTAAGCCGGTGTGCTGCAACTACTGCAGCCCACGCACCTGGAGACCATGCTCCGCAGCGAGAGAAGCCACCGCAATGAGGAGCCTGTGCACTGCAACTAGAGAAAGCCTATACAGAGCACTGAAGATCCAGTGCAGTCAAAAATAAAACAACATAAATAAAATTATAAAAAGAATTGTTGAGACACCTGGCAGCTCTCTGTATTCCACCGCTCGCCTAGGTTCCCACACAAAGCGCAGAAGCCAGGTAGCTTCAACAACACTGATTTTCCCACTGATTAAGCTCTAGCCTCCATGGAATGGTATTTGGGGCTGGGCCCTTGGGGATAGTCAGGGTTGGGGGTCATTAGGGTGGGGCCCCACGACAGGTTGTCCGAGGAGGCCCTACAAATACCTGAGAAAAGAAGAGAAGCTAAAGGCAAAGGAGAAAAGGAAAGATATACCCATTTGAGTGCAGAGTTCCAAAGAATATGAAAGAGAGATAAGAAAGCCTTCCTCAGTGATCATTGCACAGAAATAGAGGAAAACAATAGAATGGGAAAGACTAGAGATCTCTTCAAGAAAGTTAGAGATACCAAGGGAACATTTCATACAAAGATGGGCTTAATAAAGGAGAGAAATTGTATGGATCTAACAGAAGCAGAAGATATTAAGCAGAGGTAGCAAGAATACACAGAACTGTACAAAAAATACTTCATGACCCAGATAACCACGAAGGTGTGATCACTCACCTAGAGCCAGACATCTTGGAATGTGAAGTCAAGTGGGCCTTGGGAAGTATCACTACGAACAAAGCTAGTGGAGGTGATGAAATTCCAGTTAAGCTATTTAAAATCCTGAAAGATGATGCTGTGAGAGTGCTGCACTCAATATGCCAGCAAATTTGGAAAACTCAGCAGTGGCCACAGGACTGGAAAAGGTCAGTTTTCATTCCAATCCCAAAGAAAGGCAATGCCAAAGAATGTTCAAACTACTGTACAATTGCACTCATCTCACACGCTAGCAAAGTAATGCTCAAAATTCTCCAAGCCAGGTTTCAACAGTACATGAACCGTGAACTTCCACATGTTCAAGCTGGATTCTGAAAAGGCAGAGGAACCAGAGATCAAATTGCCAACATTCCTTGGATCATCAAAAAAGCACGAGAGTTCCAGAAAAACATCTGCTTTATTGACTATGCCAAAGCCTTTGACTGTGTGGATCACAACAAACTGGACAATTCTTGAAGACAAGGGAATACCAGACTTCCCTCCTGAGAAATGTGCATGCAGGTCAAGAAGCAACAGTTAGAACTGGACATGGAACAACAGACTGGTTCCAAATTGGGAAAGGAGTACATCAAGGTTGTATATTGTCACCCAGCTTATTTAACTTAAATGCAGAGTACATCATGTGAAGTGCCAGGCTGGATGAAGCACAAACTGGAATCAAGATTGTCAGGAGAAATATCAATAGCCTCAGACATGCAGATGACACCACCCTTATGGCAGAAAGCAAAGAAGAACAAGAGAGCCTCTTGATGAAAGTGAAAGAGGGGAGTGAAAAAGTTGGCTTAAAACTCAACATTCAGAAAATTAAGATCATGGCATCCAGTCCCATCACTTCATGGCAAATAGATGGGGAAACAATGGAAACAGTGGCAGACTTTATTTTGGGGGGGGCTCCAAAATCACTGCAGATGGTGACTGCAGCGATGAAATTAAAAGACACTTACTCCTTGGAAGAAAAGCTATGACCAACCTAGACAGCATATTGAAAAGCAGAGACATTACTTTGCTGACAAAGGTCCATCTAGCCAAAGCTATGGTTTTTCCAGTAGTTATGTATGGATGTGAGAGTTGGACTATAAAGAAAGCTGAGTGCAGAAGAATTGACGCTTTTGAACTGTGGCATTGGAGAAGACTCTTGAGAGTCCCTTGGATAGCAAGGAGATCCAACCAGTCCATCCTAAAGGAAATCAGTCCTGAATATTCATTGGAAGGACTGATGCTAAAGCTGAAACTCCAACACTTTGGCCACCTGATGTGAAGAACCACCTCATTGGAAAAGACCCTGATGCTGGGAAAGATTGAAGGCAGGAGGAGAAGGGAATGACAGAGGATGAGATGGTTGGATCGCATCACTGACTCGATGGACATGCATTTGAGCAAACTCTGGGAGCTGGTGATGTACAGGGAAGCCTGACGTGCTGCAGTCCATGGGGTCACAAAGAGTTGGACATGACTGAGCAACTGAACTGACTGAACCACGACAGGATTAGTGTCCCCTCTGCATCCCAACTCAGCCAGAAGATGGTGTCTGCAGGCCAGACACCCACTCACAAGAACCCACCACGCCAGCTCCCTGATCTCCAGAGTTCTAGCCTCCAGAACCAAGATAATAAGTGTCAGGTGCTGAAGCTGCCTGTCCAGAATTTTAGAAGTACCAAGCAAAGGTTTAGATTTAAGTTTTGTCTAAGTAGTAAATTATTTGTTGCTCAGTTGTGTCTGACTCTTTGCGGCCCCATGGACTGTAGCTCGCCAGGCTCCTCTGTTCATGGGATTCTCCAGGCAAGAATACTGGAGTGGGTTGCCATTCCCTTCTCCAGGGGAAGCTTCAACTGCTGCTGCTAAGTTACTTCAGTTGTGTCCGACTCTGTGCGACCCCACAGATGGCAGCCCACCAGGCTCCCCCGTCCCTGGGATTCTCCAGGCAAGAACACTGGAGTGGGTTGCCATTCCCTTCTCCAGGGAAAGCTTCAACTAGAAGCTGCTAATTATTTTGGAAGGTATTCTAATAAGGTCGTGGGATGGTGTGACAGAAGTGTGTTTGCCATTTTATTTAATATGCTGCATCAGAAAGCAGTTAAAATCTGCGGAAATGGTTGGATGTGAATTTTTCTTTTCAAGATGTTTTCCCTGCTTTCTCCACTTTCTCACAAATAGAAAAGCTACGTACTGAAATTCTGTGTCCTTGGGAGTCAGCTGGTTTGGATTATGGGGAGTGGGCTTCAATAGAAACCTCTGCTTCTCACAGGTTGGGGGATGCTGAGGACAGGAGGAGGGGGCAGGCAAGGCTTCAGGTTGTGGGGAGGAGGGGGAGGCCTGCATGAGCTACATGCTTCAGGACGTCCGGGGAGCCCCGGGGAGGGGTGTCCTTGCCTTTGCAATGTCACCACGCAGGGGGTCACCACCCAGGACTTTGCCCCTGTTTGCCCTGTTTGGATATTTGTCCGGGTAGCTCAGTCCTGGTTCCTTCCATTCACGGCCAGGCACCACTAAGTGGCATTTCCCGGCCTGTTTTTCAGTTTGTTGTTGTCTGTCTGCCCCAGAACTCAGCCCCAGGGGGGCAGGGATGCCAGCCTGGCGCCCAGTGCTCTAACAGATTAGGAGTGCCCCAGCAACCCATGGGTTTGCTCCTCTTTGGGCGGGGCCCCGCCCGCCCCGCCCCGCCCCGCCCCGCCTCCTGCCCCTGTATCCCCTCCCAGCTGGCCCAGGCATTTCCTCCCTACTGCGCCCTCTCCCGGGACATTCCTCCCCTGGCTGCTTCCGTGCCCCGTTTTCCTCCTCCCCTGGGGCCCTGCAACCCTTGCTCACCCTGCCAGGCAGGGGTCTGGCTTGAGGGAGGGGAGCCAGGCGGGTCCCAGGGAAGCCCCTCGGCCCATGACGTCCATCTTGGCAACTTGGATGACAATCCCCCGTCAGGCCCACAGGGGCAGGAACTCTGGAGCGCGGGTGGCCTCTGTGGACATCACCCCCACACTTCCCAGAGACAACGCTGGGGGCAGGGTGAGGGCTGGGATTCACTGCCCTATATGGGAGTGCGGTGGGGGGCTGGTCTCCAGGAGGCCTGGGGTAGGGTCACCTGTTGGGTCAGCCGGAAGGAATGAGGCAAAACCCTTGGGCTCCCCAAGGGGAAGATGAGGGGACGACTCCTCCTGCAAGAAGAACACGCGAACGGGCGGGGCAGCAGAGTCCCAGTGGGTTGAAGGCCCTGGCCAGCGCAGGCTGAGAGACCTGTGGTAATAAGGATGGGGGCCGGCGTCCGCGTCTCCGAAGACCCTGCAGACAGAGCCGCGGGAGGCCGGCTCTCCCAGACCCACGGCCATCTCCTCCGTCATGCACGCCCAGACTGGGGCCCAGGACCTCACCCTGGGAACACCCCCCACCCCGAGACACCAACACCTTCCCCGCCCCTTGGACTCCACACGAGGTCCCCTTCAGGCCCTACTCTGGGTACTTGGGGCTGTGCCGCACGCTTGCCGGGTCGCACGGAACAACGCGCAGGATCCCTGGGCCGGGTGGGAGGCGCCCGTCTGCACAGACTCGCGCCTGAGCGCCGTAGGTGCAGACACTTTGCATCGGTGTGTGGAGGTCTTGTGCTTCCTTCGTCGGACCACCCGACCCATCCACCCGCCGGCTGGACCCAGGACGTGGACCGGTTCCCTGGCTCCGCAGGTCGGCCCCGCCCATGCCCTGCCCACCCACAGGCCCCATCCCCGTCTGGCCCCTTCGCCAAGGCCGGCCCTTTCTCAGGCCCCGCCCGCTCCTCAGGCCCCACCCCGCCCGGCCCCTTCCCCGGACCGGCCCCGCCCCAGGCCCCGCCCCACGGGCGCGCGCCTGCGCAGTGAGCACGGGCGCAGTCGGAAGCCCGGCGCGGACCGCGGGGACCGCGGGGACGGCAGCCCCGCTTGCCCACAGCACGCAGCCCACAGTCGTCCGCCGCCGGGGCTCGGGCCGCCCTGGCCGGGGATGGCGGCGGCGGCCGAGCCCGGGGCCCTAGGCTGGCTTGGCGGCGTCTCCCCGCGCTCGGGCAGCCCGACCTCCAGCCCCGAGCTGGGCGCCGGAAGCCGCTCGCGATCGGGGCCGGGGTCCGGGACGGGGTCGGGGCCGGAGCGGTCGGGCGCCAGGCCCCCAGGGCCCGCCGCGCCGAGTCACAGCTTCAGGAAGGTGACGCTTACCAAGCCCACCTTCTGCCACCTCTGCTCCGATTTCATCTGGGGGCTGGCCGGCATCCTGTGTGACGGTGAGCGCCCGCGACCCCACCGCGGACCCCAGCCCCTGCTCTCTGCACTTCCAGCAGGGGCCTCCCCGGGACAGAGATCCCTGCCCTCGGGGCAGGAGGGTGCCAGGCCCAGACCTCCCGGCGGAGGCGATGAGGACCTTGCGGGGTCTGGGGGCGTCAAGCGGTCGCGGCTCCTCCCCCGGGAGTCCTCACCTGGGTTGGAACCCTGTGAGGGAAGAGCGCGGCGGCCGCGCAGTGCCGGTGCAGTGACTGGGGACGAGGCCAGCCAACCCTGGGCAGGTGCAAGGGCCAGCAGCGTGGCCAGGCAGGGCTGGCCTGAGCCACTGGCTCCCCGGGGCTGGTGCTGGTCTGTTCTCTCCTGGGTGTGTGCTGCTGCCCACAGGGCTGCCCGGGCTCAGACTCCAGGGAGCTGGGCCAGGCCTGCCACCCCGAGTGTGACGTGCCCCGACAGGGCCCCGGCCCAGCCGCCAAACGGGCCTGGTCGGGCGGGGAGGCCCTCCATCATGCGTCTCCACGGGGGATGGGACGGGGCGGGGCGCCTCTGCCCTGCCCAGGGAGACAGGCCCATGGCTCTGGGGACCGAGGAGCCTGGGGCCTGGCGTGCTGAGGAGGCTGGGCTAGGTATGGGTGGAGGAACTGCCAGGGAAGTGGCCGGTCCTCCTCACAGGTAGGACCTCCTGCCGGTGGGTGCTAGGTCTGAGGGGCAAAGGAGCTCACAGAAGGGAAATGGGGGTGATGTGCAGACACTCTCCTCAGCTCCGAGGGTGAGCTGGTGACCTCGGCACACAGAGAGGCCTGGCAAGGGTGTGGGAGGAAGAGTGCCTTCCCCTGCCAGGGAGCACCCAGGATGTGTGGGGAACAGGAGCTCTCTCTGTGGGCCAGAGGAGGAAGCTGAGCGCCACCTGTCAAGAGCTGCCGCCTTCTGAGGCTGTGCCAGGCGTGCGCCTCACCCTGCTGCATGCCTCCCCAGGATGGAGGGTGCCCCCTTGCTGCCTCCGTGGGCCTTGTGAGCACAGCTCATGCCTTGGAGCCTCTGGGACACCTACCTCTCCGGGCAGGACCAGCTGCCCTCAGAGGCAGGGCATCCTGGTCTGTCAGACTGGCTCTGGTCCAGGCAGGCACCTCATGTGTGGGAGGGGTAATTAGGGGTGTATGCACTTGTGGGGAGCAAGGGAAGGGTGTCCCTGGAGAAGTTGGTCTAGGGGCAGGCAGAGATGCAGCAGGTGGCCAAGTGCCCGCCTGCCTACCCACCGCCAGTAGAGACTGGAAGGAGCTGGGCCTGTGTATATGTGTGTGTGGTGGGGGGAGCGGGTGGACAGGGCTGGCTCAGGACACCAGAGTACATGGTCATCCCGGATGGCCAGAGCCACCAAGCTGCTCTTCACTCGGCTCTCGGGGTGGGGCCAAGGACGAGGCTCTCTCCACGCTCTCTCTCTACCCTGACGGCCAGGGTTAGGCTCAGGAAGGTCTGGGAGGGTGGGCCCACTGTGATAAGCTGTCTGCCCTGGCGCGGCCTCCCTCCCTCATGCCAAGCCCTGGGGTCTTTTGATCCCTGGGCAGGACAGGGGCCAACTCACGGGGCTCTTGTTCCCACAGTTTGCAACTTCATGTCCCACGAGAAGTGCCTGAAGCACGTGAAGACCCCCTGCACCAGCGTGGCTCCCAGCCTGGTCCGCGTGCGTATGGAGCTTGGCTGCTGCACCTGCACCTTTGGGGGGAGGGCAAAGAGGGTCTGGGGGCCCGGCTCCTGTGTGTGGGGGGGCTGGGCTGGGAGTTGGGCTGGCAGGTCAGATGGTGTGGGCTGGGAGTGCCCCCTTGCAGTGCATCCAGGGCAGCAGGGGGCCTCCCTTCCCCAGGGCTCTGACCCTGTCTTCTCTGGGGTCCTTGGTACCTAGCAGCCTGTGGCTGGGCTTCCCTCCACCTGTACTCGATCTGGCTGGCCCCAAATGTATCAGCAAGAGGAACAGGCCTGGGGGTGGCCAGCACCTGTGCAGCTGGGTCAGGCCTGGGCGAGGCCAGCTGGGCCTGAGCTGCAGAAGGGGCTGTTTGAGGTCACGCCTTGGGGCTGCCCCGAGTCAGTCCCGCACAGGAACAGAGGAGTCCGCATGCCGGGCGGTCCCCAGCAGGATCCCCTGGGAGCATGGAGGGGCCCAGAGGCACACACAGCACTCCATCAGCAGGGCTCGGGAGGACTGAAGGGTCAGGCAGGAGACCAGGGCTGGTCATGGCAGCTCCTTGGGCAGAGAGGAATGGGGGACCCAGGCTGAGGCCAGGCTCTGCCCCTCCCAGGTCCCGGTGGCCCACTGCTTCGGCCCCCGGGGGCTCTACAAGCGCAGGTTCTGCTCCGTGTGCCGCAAGGGCCTGGAGGCGCTGGGCCTCCGTTGCGAAGGTACCGCCAGCATCCCGCGTGGCCCCGCCCCAGGGGCCTGGTCTCTGCGGCCCGGGCGGCCCCGCCCCCCCTTGCGGTCAGGCCGCAGGTCTGGGGTGGGAGGCGGGGAGGTGGGTGCGGGGCATCTCAGGGCCGCCCCCTGCGTGCAGAGGTGGGCTGGGTGGAGAGACGCAGAGAAGCTGGTTCCCATCGTGCCGGGGTCGGGGAGGGGGGCTCGGGGGTGTTCCTGTCTCTCACCACGGGCCCCCAAACGTTCAGGAAAGTGAGGTCCGGGGAGAGGCAGACCCAGGCCCGATCAGGGGGCTGGCAGGGTCGGTGGGCAGTGACCAGAAGCCCCCTAACCCTGCCCGCCCCCCAGTGTGTGAGCTGCACGTTCACCCCGACTGTGTGCCCTTCGCCTGCAGCGACTGCCGCCAGTGCCACCAGGACGGGCACCGCGAACACGTGAGTGCGCGGGGCCTGGGGGAGGCCAGGGAGCGGGCGGCCGGACGAGCCGCTGACGGCGCTCTCCGCAGGACGCACACCTCCACCACTGGCGGGAGGGGACCTTGCCGTCGGGCGCTCGCTGCGAGCTCTGTCGGAAGACGTGCGGCTCCTCGGACGTGCCGGCCGGCGTGCGCTGCGAGTGGTGCGGCGTCCAGGTGGGCGCACTGGGCGGGGCCTCTGCGCGCGGGGCGGGGCCTCGGCGGCCTTCGGCTGGGCCTGGCGCGCGCGGGGCCTCAGCGGTGCCGCCGGATGGAGTCCTGGGTCTTGGGCACAGCTCGTCTGGATCGCGCCGCCTCCCGGCCTTTGGGGGTAGAGGGGAGACTCAGGTCTCTGGTTGGGGGCGCTCGGTGTGGGTCCTCCTGGCCTTCTGCGCCGGAGCCCCGCGCTCGAGCCGCACTCGCTCCCCTGCAGGCCCACTCGGTCTGCTCCGCGGGGCTCGCCCCCGAGTGCACTTTCGGGCGCCTGCGCACCCTGGTCCTGCCCCCCGCCTGCGTGCGCCTCCTGTCCCGAAACTTCAGCAAGATGCACTGCTTTCGAATCCCTGAGATCGCGGTGCCGGAGCCGGGTGAGCCGGGTGACGGGGAGGGGTGGCCGGCGCTGGGCCGGGCCCTGACTAAGGCCGTCTGTGACCCTCTCACAGGGGACGGGGAGGACAGCGCCGATGGCAGCGTCCCCGCCGGCCCGGGCCGAGAGGTGGGGGCGCCTGAGTCCGGTAAGTGCCCCTTTGCTGTGCCCGCTCCCACACCCCAGACCCCGCTCCCTCGACCGTCTCTCACTCCACGGACTTGCACGCGCTCCCCTGCGGCCCAGGCAAGCAGACTCTGAAGATCTTTGATGGCAGCGACGCGATGCAGCGAAACCACTTTCGTACAGTCACGGTCCCGCACCTGGCCCGGAGCCAGGAGGTGCTGGTAAGAGGGAGCCCGGCCATGGGGGACTGCGGGGACCCACGGACCTGGCCCTGGCAGGCCCCACCTTTGCCCCCTTCTCACAGGAGGCGGCTCTGCGGGCTTACTACATCCCCGAGGACCCTCAGGGCTTCCAGCTGCAGGCGCTCCCCACTCCTGCGCAGCTTGGAGACACCGTGGCAGCGGGAAAGGTCTGGAGCGCTGGGTCCACTGAGGAGGAGGGCGGCAGAGCAACTTGCCAGGCCTGGGTCCTCCGCGCTCTGCCCCGCACCCAGGAGATCCTGAAGATCTACCCGGCCTGGCTCAAGTGAGACCAGGTCCCAGCAGGGCCGTGGGGGGCGGGGAGGGGAGCGCGGACTGTGCCTCCCCAGCTCCTGAGCCTGTCCCCTGCAGGGTGGGTGTGGCCTACGTCTCCATCCGTGTGACCCCGCAGAGCACTGCCCGCAGCGTGGTGCTGGAGGTCCTCCCGCTGCTCGGACGCCAGGTGTGTGCCCACCCCGCCCCGCCCGTGTACCCGCCCCGCCAAAGTCTTGGGGTGGTGGGGTCCCGTCCAGACTTGATACCCTGAACTGTACCCCCACAGGCTGAGGGGGTCGAGGGTTTCCAGCTTGTGGAGGTGCTCATGGGCAGCAGACAAGGTGAGGGGGCAGCCTGTAGCCCGTGCCCTGACCGCGTCTGCCCAGGGGCTCCGGGACACCTGGTCGTGGAGGTGGTCGTGGTGTCTGGGGCTCACGGCAGTGTCTCTCAACCCCACAGTCCAGCGCACGGTGCTGGCAGACGAGGAACCCTTGCTCAACCGGCTTCATGAGATCCGGCAGGTCAGTGGATGCGGCCACTGGCCCCCGGGGAGCCGCTGGCCTTTGGGCACAGCCTGTCCCTTGTAGACAGGGAGTCTGCCCTGAGGACACCAAGGCCACATTGGCCCGCAGTGCCTCCCCCCGAGGTCCCCGTGTGTCCCTCCTCTCCTGTCCTTTCTTGTTCTGGGGGCGCTTGGCCTGGGACGTCTTCCCTTTGGCCCCCTGTGGACAGAGCGGGTGGGGGGGTGTCCCTGGGGCTCTGCTCAGTGTCCCCTCCCTGCAGATGTCCTTGCGGCAGATGAGCCAGACACGGTTCTACGTGGCTGAGAGCAGGGCGCTGGCCCCGCGCGTCTCTCTGTTTGTGGGTGGTCTGCCGCCGGGCCTGTCCCCCCAGGAGTACCGCAGTTTGTTGGATGAGGCTGTTGCCAGCAAAGGTGCACCTGCCTGGACTGTCACTCCCTGGGCTGGCGGGGCACCTGGCCGGGTGGGGGGCACAGACCAGGAGTCCTAAGGGGGGGCCTGGGGGCTGCGGTGCCAAGGTGGGGCCCTCCTGCTCCCCCCTCCTCCCAGTCACATGCCGGACTGGGTCCTGACAAGAGGATCTCTGTCCTCACGTCTGAGGCCCAGGGCCTGTTACCTCCTCTGGAGAGTTTCTGGGCCTCCTGATCTGGGCCCTGGGGCTGCCCAGTGCCTGAAGTAGGGGGCACTTCTGGGAGAGTGAGCTTCCCTTTTCGGGGGTGTGAGCTTCTTTCTGGTCTGGGAGGCTGGGTGGCCACAGGCCCTGGGGGCAGGTCTCTGGCATCCGATCACAGTCCCCCCATCTTTGCAGCTGCTGTGGTGACTGTGAGCCATGTCTACTCCGCCCAAGGTGAGCCACCCGCAGACCCTGGTCAGGTTTGGTCAAAGGTCACCTCCAGAGCAGGTGGGGCAGCCCCGCTCTCTGGCTTCACCTCATTGGGGGCCCGGGGTAGGGGAAACCTTGGTGTTTGTTTCCCGGCTCCCAGCTGTGATGCTTTTGCTAAAATGTGACTGAGGTGCAGAGAACATTCTCACCACAGCCTGTCCTGCTCGCGGGTTCCAGAGTTTATCCCGGGCAGCTTTAGATCTCCCCAGCAGGAGGACCGGAGAAGGCAATGGCACCCCACTCCAGTACTCTTGCCTGGAAAATCCCGTGGACGGAGGAGCCTGGTGGGCTGCAGTCCATGGGGTCGAGAAGAGTCGGACATGACTGAGTGACTTCACTTTCACTTTTCACTTTCATGCATTGGAGAAGGAAATGGCAACCCACTCCAGTGTTCTTGCCTGGAGAATCCCAGGGATGGGGTCGCACAGAGTCGGACATGACTGAAGTGACTTAGCAGCAGCAGGAGGACAGTGTCATGGGGCCCGTGTTCCCCTCTGGGGGCCAACAGCAGCTCCCAGCACCCCCCATGGCTCTCGTGGGCCCTGGGGCCTGTCTGTCCCACCACCTCCAGTAGCCTTGCTCTGCCCACCAAGCATCTCCCATCTCTGGACCTCTTTGTCCTTGAAGGCCTCCCCCAGGCAAGGAGTCATGCACACCTTAGGATAGGCTGGCCCAAAGCGGGCGTGGCCAGAACTGGGGTCATTCCCCCACAGCTGGGGCCCTGGCCCAAGACACTGTGGGGGTCGGGACCTTCGCACAGGCACCCAAGCTCACCGCCCACCTGCCACAGGTGCCGTGGTGCTGGACGTGGCCTGCTTCGCGGAGGCTGAGCGGCTGTACATGCTGGTCAGGGACACAGCTGTGCGTGGCCGGCCGCTGATGGCCCTGGTGCTCCCGGAGGTGCTGGTGAGTGGCGCTAAGGTGGGCCTGGGGCTGAGGCTTCCACTGGTTTGTCTTTATCTTGGGCCGTTGGAGCAAAGTCCAAATGTCTGCTGCAAGGCCAGCTCACTCCTCAGGATGGGCCGAGGTCTGACCCCAGCAGGCCCTGCAGGGCACACATCGTCAGCCTGTCACGTGTGTGTGACTGCGCGGGCAGCCCTCGTGGGGTCATGGGCCCTGGCCCCACTCGCCCTGCCTGGGAGGCCCTGGACCCTGCTCGAAGCGTGGGCCTCCTCAGTACGTGATGCTCCCGACTCCCCAGGCTGTCTCAAAGTCCCCGCAGGGCCCCGGACCCTGCCCTGTGCTCTGTGCCCTGGTCCACCTCTGGTCCTCAGCCCTGCTGGCTTCCAGGGACGCCCCCCCCCCCACCCCCCCGTCACCAAGGGTGTCTGTGGCCCCTGACCTAGCTCAGGTCAGGCGGAATTACAGCAGAAAGTTCAGGCTGTGGCTGGGGGGCCACCCCTTGTGGTCTCTGCTGCCCTGGCCAACCGTCCAGACAAGGGCGCGGCAATCGTGGGCCCAGGCCCTCCGCCCGCCCTCTGGCCAGAGACAGGTGGGTCTTGCCAGCCCTCTCCCCTGGCAGCTGCCTGCCCCAGCGAGCAGGTGAGTGCTGCCCACAGGCCACCCTGCCTGAGGGCCCACATGCGCCCTCTGCGTGCCCACAGCCTCAAGCCACAGCCGAGCCGTGTGCCACCACTGCCCATGGTGTCTGCCTGTCTGTCCCTCGTCACCCAGCGGCCCCCGTGGCGGGGACTCCAGCCACCCCCCACCACCATGTAGAGACCCCAGCCCCCCACCCCCACCAGGGGGGACCGCAGCCCCCCAACCCCACCGTGTAAGGCCCCAGTGCCCTCCCACCAGCTTGATACCCCTGCTCTCTCAAATGCCGTTTCTGCTATGTGTGGGGAGGGCCTTCACCCATCGCTGGGGTGAGGCGTGGGGCAGCCCTTTGCGCCAGGGTGCCCCTCCTGACTGCCAGGCGGGTCCCAGTGGGCTTCTGGCCTGGACTCATGGGCCTGTGCACCAGGCGGGGGTGGGGCCTAAAGACACGTCGTGGCAGGGGCGCCATGGCCATCGGTTCAGGGCTCCGGGTACCTTCCCTGCCCATTGGTCTGTGGTCTGTGGTACCGCGGGGGGTGGTCTAAGAGGCCAGTGGTGAGGTGGGGTGGCCGCGTGGCCTCCGTCCCAAGGAAGGCCAGCCCCAGATCCGCGTAGGGTTGGGGGAGGCCCGGCTTCCCCCGGGGGCCGTCCCGCACCCCCTGACGCAGCCCGCATCTGTCAGCACACGAAGCTGGCCCCAGACTGCCGCCCCCTGCTCGTGTTTGTGAACCCCAGGAGTGGAGGGCTCAAGGGCCGTGACCTGCTCTGCAGTTTCCGGAAGCTGCTCAACCCCCACCAGGTCTTCGAGCTGACCAATGGGGGGCCACTGCCTGGGTGAGCGCGCCTGGAGGGGCGGGGTGTGGCGGGATCAATGGGGGCGCCCTCCTGCCCCGGGGTGGCCTGGTCCGGCTTGTCTGGCCACGGTGGCAGGACATGCCCTGTCTCCCTGCCCAGGTTTCACGTGTTCTCCCAGGTACCCTGCTTCCGGGTGCTGGTGTGCGGCGGGGACGGCACGGTGGGCTGGGTGCTCACCGCCCTGGAGGACATGAGGCACCGCTTGGCCTGCCCGGAGCCTGCTGTAGCCATCCTGCCCCTGGGCACAGGTGGGGCGGGCCGGCCCGGCTGGGGTGGGGGCCCAGCATGGCGGGCCGGGTGTGGAGGCAGCCTGTCTTGCTGGTTCCCAGGGAACGACCTGGGCCGGGTCCTCCGCTGGGGGGCGGGCTACAGCGGGGAGGACCCATTCTCCGTGCTGCTGTCAGTGGACGAGGCGGATGCCGTGCTTGTGGACCGCTGGACCATCCTGCTGGATGCTCACAAGGCTGCTGGCGGGGAGGACAGCGAGGCAGAGGCAGAGCCCCCCAAGGTACCGGCATGCCCGGGCAAGGGCGTGGTGCCCAGTGGGTGGCTGTGTGTTTTCATCCGGGCCACGCCCCGGCGTCGCCGCGAGTACTGTTCCCAGGCAGATGGGCAGCTGAGAGCAGGGCCATGTATGCTGGCCTCATGGGAGGCGGGGAGCCTCTGGGGGTCGACAGGGAGGGGCCAAGGGAGACACGTCTTGTCCTCAGATCGTACAGATGAGTAACTACTGTGGGATCGGCATCGACGCAGAGCTGAGCCTGGACTTCCACCAGGCGCGGGAGGAGGAGCCCGGCAAGTTCAGGAGCAGGTCAGGGTGCACGGGTGGGGCGGGGCTGCCCGGAACTTCCTGGGGGCTCACCAGCCATGACTCGGGGCTGGGGCCTCTCATGACGCGGAGTCCCCCACCAGGTTCCACAACAAGGGCGTGTACGTGCGGGTCGGGCTGCAGAAGATCAGCCACTCCCGCGGCCTGCACAGGGCCCTCCGGCTGCAGGTGGAGCAGCAGGAGGTGGAGCTGCCCAGCATCGAGGGGCTCATCTTCATCAACATCCCCAGGTGCCCACGCGGCCCCTGCCCTCCTGCCAAGCCTCCTTCTGACCTGCGTGACCCCACACACGGGGCTGCAGCCCCTGCCCTCCTGTCCAGCCCTGCGGGGCCTCACGTAGGGTGAGGGGCTCCTACCCCTGCCCGATGCTAACTCTCCCTGACCTTGCTTCCCCGGGAAATGCCCACTGAGGACGGGGCCAGGGATGCATCTGACCTGCATGCCCCCACGCACGGGTCTCCAGGGCTCTGGCCCCCGCCCTCCTGTCCAACCTTCCTCTGACCTCTGTGCCCCTCCCTCCTGTGCAGCTGGGGCTCAGGGGCCGACCTGTGGGGCTCCGACAGTGACTCGAGGTTCGAGAAGCCGCGCATGGACGATGGGCTGCTGGAGGTGGTGGGGGTGACGGGCGTTGTGCACATGGTGAGCGTGGGGACTGGGAGACCGGGGTCTAGGCTGTGCACATGGTGAGCATGGGGGTGGGGAGACAGGAGCCCGGGGTGTGCACACGGGGAGCATGGGGACGAGACAGGGGCCCGGGGTGTGCACATGGGGAGTGTGGGGACTGGAGACCAGGCCCTCGGTGCCGCCCGTGGCCTGCTGAGCCTGGCCCCCCTCCCACCAGGGCCAGGTCCAGAGTGGGCTGCGCTCAGGCATCCGCATTGCCCAGGGGTCCTACTTCCGCGTCACCCTTCTCAAGGCCACACCCGTGCAGGTGGATGGTGAACCCTGGGTCCAGGCTCCTGGGCACCTGATCATCTCGGCTGCGGGCCCTAAGGTACGTCAGGGTGGGGTGGGAAGGGGGCTCGCGGCTGGTGGGCAGTCCAGCCATGCCTGGTTCTTCTCTGACTCTGAGAGGCCATGGGCTGGATGAGGCGGCCAGCCTTTAGTTAACCGCCACCCCGTCCCCTTCTGTGAAACGGGCTGAGATGGTGGCGGCTGCTCTGGGACCTGTGGCCAGGTGGCCTGAGTTGTGACAGCTCTTGTGTGTCCTGGGACAGGTCCACATGCTCAGGAAGGCCAAGCAGAAGCCCAGGAAGGCGGGGCCCCCTAAGGATGCACGAGCCGACGGGGCCCCGGCCCCCGAGGGGGACCCCAAGTAGAGGCACATCCTGGAGCAGCACTCAGCAGCGGACAGATGTGCTCACAGCCCTGGCCTCTTGCCTTCCCGTCTCTTCCCCGTGCCAGGCGGAGACTGCTAGGTGGGTGGTGCGGGGCTCCCTGGGGCCCAGGCCGCTGTCCTAGAGGACACGCACTTCCCCCGGGGCCCCTCTGCCACCTCTGGGCCCCTGAGCCAGGCAGCACCAGACCTCAGCAGTGCCCCGAGGCACCCCTACAGGGCAGCTGGCTCTCTGACCTTGGGGGTGCCCAGCGCAGTCATGGGACACCCCTGCCACTAGCTTCTGGGGTCGGACAGTGTCTGGCTGGCCCAGTCTGAGCTCTGCGGGGACCCTGGGGTGACTGGGCTGGGAGAGGCAGACCCCGAGGAAGCCAGGTGGGCCTGGCCCCCCAGGAGGTGTGTGGTGCCCGGGAGGCAGCAGGAGCTGGCCCGGCCAGGACTCCCAAGGATGTGAGGCAGGCGAGTGTGCAGCAGGAGAGGTTTAATTGGCTGGGGAAAGTGCTCCGCCCCTCCGCGTGTCAGCAGTTAGCACGCGGGTTCCATGTCCACTGAGCAGATGTGTCTCTGTGCTTCTCCACGTGGAGATGGGCGATGCAGATGGGCTGCCAGGCGGGTCACTCAGAGCCCCGGAGTCCAGCCAGCCCAGAGCCCTGTCCAGGCGTGGAGGAGGGTCCGGAGGCCCCTCTCTTGACTGTTTGGTCCCTATGCCTTGGCACTGGCTGGCTGCCAGGCCCTCACCCTGGGTGGCGGCCTCGCCCTGACACTGGCCTCAACCTCAGACACGGCCCCGCCCATCCCTATACCCGCCCAGCTCGTGCCAAAGCTACCCAGACGTGGGCAGCACGAGGGCCGCGGGCCTCCAGTGCCCGGTGTGCATCCCTCGGGCCTGCGTTCCTGGGGGTGGAATCAGCTTTTGCCCTGCAGCTGCACCGGTTGGTGGGAACTGTCTGTCACTGTGGTTCGGGTGGACGAGTCCTCTGCGTGTAAGCAAGTCTGAGAGTGTGTGTGAGCGCTGCGCCCCTCCCTCGTGTGTAACCTACCCCCGAAGGTGACTGTAATTTATATCTTAGACAAATAGAGTCTGGGCTTCCGGCCCTTCTGCTGTCCGTCTCCTGCGTCACTGTGCCTGGGGTGAGTCGCGGGGGGTGGGTGGGTGTTCTGGCAGCCTGCTGGGGCCTCTGCACTGGGGTGTGGCCTGAGTCCAGGGAGGGGCTGGGCCCACTGCCCCAGGGCCCCCACCTCCGGGGCTCCGCCAGCCCTCCGGGGCTCGTCTCTGCTGGCTTGAGCAGAAAACGGGCACAAGCAACACAGTGAAGCTGCCATGAGACTCTTCTCTGCAAAGTGGAAGTAATCTGAGGGTCTGAGGCAGAACATGAATCTTCACAAGGCCCCGGAGACAGGGCAGGGCGGCACTAGCAGGGGGCAGGGAGCAGTGGGGACTGGGCCTCGTCCGCAGCCCCAGGCGCCGGCTGGGCAATCACGGGCCCCACCAGCCCCCGCAGGGCCCGCAGGCTGGCCAGCGCCAGGCGCACCAGCAGCCGGAGCAGCAGGAAGGTGAAGGGCACCGCGATCTGCATGGCGTGGAAGATGGCCGTGCTGAAGCTGCTCAGCACGCAGGTGCAGGCGAAGGCCAGCAGGCTGGCGCAGGGGTACAGGGCGAGCTTGGCAAACATGAATGCGTGCTCGCGGCCCCCGAAGCGTGCAGAGGGTTGCAGCGTATCCCCCTCCCGCAGCAGTGCCGTGGTCCAGATGGCGAACTGGAAGATGCTGGCCAGGAAGATGATGGCGCAGCTGACGCGCACGCTCTCCAGCTCATCGCGGGGCTGCTGTGCGAAGGCTGACGTCTGCTGGTAGGCCAGGGGCAGGCCGCCCACGAAGGCCAGCGAGAGCGTGTTGAGCAGTCCCATGGGCTGCGTGGCCCTGCGGATGTGCAGGAACAGTGAGTGGTGGGCGAACCAGAGCAGGCCCACCGTGGCGAAGGAGCCGAAGTAGGCCAGGAAGTGCGGCCCTGACTCGCCCAGCGCAGCCACCAGGCTGCCCTGGAACTTCTCCTTCACATCCTTGGCGTCCGGGACGTTGTCCTCGCTGAGGGGAGAAACACACCAATCTGCGGGGGTCCCGCCTCTGGCATCTGGTCAGCACAGCTGCCCCCGCACACACGAACTTTAGATGAATGAACAGCACGTGCGGACTTTTGCGGATCTGTGTTGACACACACAGGGCTGTTCACCTGAAGTTCAAGTTCAGCTGCAGCCTTTGTTGTCTAGGCTGACCGCAGCCCTGCCTGCCAGGCCCCAGGCTTGCAGCCCCTCTGGCACCCACGGGTGGTACTGTGAGATCTTTACCCCCTGCAGTGACCCTTCCATGGGGAGTGGCCCCGCAGGCCTGAGGGGCTTTGCCCAGGCTGAACTTGACTGTAAGGAGAGTCTCAGGCACACAGGGGAGGTCGTGGACAACAGCCACAGCCTGGACAAACCCGGCGGCCGCATGCATGCTTGTGTGGGTGGGAGCAGGAGACAGAGCCTGGGGTCTCCCGGGGACCCCCACCGGGGTTCTCGGGCTGTGCCTCTGGTGGGAGGAAGGAGCCATGACCCATGGGGTGCCTAGCCGCAGTCACCCCTCACTGCCACCCAGCAGGGACGAGAAGGCAGGGCTCTGGCTCAGGGCAGACCTCTGTCTGGGCCTCAGAGATGTGTGCCCATGGGCATTTGCTCCTAATTTTTAAAAATTCTCAAGTTACAGTAAGAAAAAGCTACTCAGAGAAGCTTAGGGGCATCAAGACTTTACATAATCAGATACAGAACATAAAATCAGAGTGTTTAAATGTTAACAAAACATGAATGTACTGAAATATGGCCAAGGAACAAAAAAAGGCTTTAAAAAGGATGGAAGATTTGAAAAAGGAGTAGATAAGACACTTAGAAATGAAGAAACGATAGCTGAGGCTGGAACTCTGACATGCAGAGGCTGCCTGGCCAAGCAGCAGAGCGGGCCACAGGGAGCTGGGGGCCCCCCGCCCCCCCGCCCCCGCCGCCCGCCCCCCACCCCCCGCCCCCCGCCCGCGGGAGGGCGGCCCCCAGCTCTCACCAGATGTCCAGGATGAGCAGAGTGGCCACGATGGCATAGACCCCGTCACTGAAGGCCTCCACCCGCTCCTTGCTGAGCGGCTCGTGCAGGTCGAAGGTGAAGACCTCCATGCTGTGAGCCGGGGGCTCTCTGGGGCCTACGGCGAGCCAGGGAGGGGCGGCCGAGCCCTCAGCACTCTGGGCCAGCGGGGGGCCCTGGTGGCAGCCCTGGAGCCCCCCAGGACAGCCCCCCTGGGCACCTACCCATAAGGTGGGCCCTGCACCAGCCGGCAGCCTTGCTCACGTAGGGCAGGAAGATGACCGTGGCCATCAGCAGGTATGACTGTGCGGAGAGCGTGCTTCAGGGGAGTGCTGAGGCCCGAGGGAGCGTGGCTGTGTGCAGGACCAGGGCGTGTGTGTGCGTGTGCATGCATGTCAAACAACAGTCCGAGGGGAACCTGAGCTGGGTGCGGGGCGGGGGCTGCCCAGGGCTGAGGGGTGTGAGCCCAAGGGAGGAGCAGGCCCGGGGCCTGATCATCAGCACTGGGGTAGACGGTCCAGATGGAGGTGGGGACGGTGGGCCAGGGTGTGACCATGGTGGGGACTGCAAGGTGGGCCCAGGACGGCACCCTGGATCGGGGTAGGGGGGGCGGTGAGCACGCCTGGGAGGATGGCCCAGGGCTCCTGGGGAGCTTTGGGGGGGCTGGGCAGGGGGCTGTCCCACGTGGTGATGGGAGGGCGCCCCAGGCAAGCAGGTGAGGGGTTGAGGGGCCAGACCCCCCCAGCAGGAAGGCAGGACATGGGGGAGGGGCTACCTGGGCCCCAGCCCCACGAAGACCCTCCCCTCTTTGTGGCAGCCCAGTACCCTCCCCCCTGCTGCCATCACTCAAGGGTCCAGTCACTCCCTGCCCAGGTGCCTCATGGCATCCACAGCGCCCGCCAAGGGGCCTCCGCTCTGCCTGCTCCTCACCCAGGCCACTCGCTCCACACCCAGCCAGGCCTTCTGTCCTCCACACAATGACCCCCACTGCCTGAGCCCGGCCAGAGCTGGGGGGGCTGATCCACCTGCAGCGTGGATGCTGCAAACCCATCCTGCCCTCCATCTCTGTGCTTCACCCCTGCTGGCCTGCCCTGTCCTGTCCACGGGGAGCACCCACTAAAGGCCACGGTCAGGGTTACCTTGCCTGGTCCCAAAGGTCCCCAAGGCCCCTGACCAGCAGGAGTGGGGTCCACCGGGAGGTGCAGCCCCCACATGGTGAGGGGACATATCATCTCCCCTGCCCCCACCTGTGGCCTGAGCTGGGGTGCCCTGGACATGACCCCAGCCCCCAGCTCCATCCTCCAGGGTGTGACCCTGCAGCCCTTGCCAGTCTGTTTATTTTAAATTTGGAATTCTCTTGAAACATTTACTAGACGTTTAAAATGCATTCCTTCACACTTCTTGTGATGCTTTGGGTTTAAGGGTTCACTCTGCTTCACCCAGAGTGCAGGTAAAGGCAGGAGCTGCCCTGAGTTGCTGCTGGTGGGGCTTATCTTCCCACCCAGGTGAGCGAAGCATCTCCGGCTGCAGCTCAGCCAGGACAGTCAGGCGCAGCCCCGCCTGCAGCCGCCGTCTCCCTTACTCCGTCTTCCTGCGCTCTGTGGTGGCCAGCCCACTGTGCCTGCACCTCCCTTTCCTCCACTTCCATCCTTCCTGTCTCGGGAAGGTTTTTCCCTACTTCCTCTCTCAGCTGGCCACAGCCCCACGCACATGTAGAGAGCCACGCATCCCAGGCCCGCTGGTGTGTGCTGTGGCAGCTCCGGGCAGGCCCTGGACTCACCGCGGGGTAGAAGAAGAGGGAGAAGCCGGCGGCGGCCAGGCAGAGTGCGGGGCCCCGCATGATGATGCCCAGGATGTGCTGCCGGTAGAGACGACGGTGGGCAGAGCGCTCGATCTGGGGGCTCAGGAGGTGAGGGAAGTGGAAGGCATAGAGCACGATCAGCGCCTGCGGGAGACGCTGCAGGCTATGGGTGGGCCTCGAACGGGTACCACAGGAAGTCTGGGGTGCGGGGGGCAGGGCCCTCGTGCTGCTCGGGCAGGCCTGGGGTCTCAGCCCAGCCTGAGGGCGCCAGGCCCCATCTCATTCTCCATCCACATCAGGAAGGGGGCTCGGGCCCTAAGCGGGTGCCCGGGGCAGATACGCCCTGGCTGGCACAGTCTGCACGGCCCCTCAGCGGGGGCCCAAGCACATGCCACAGCTGTGCCTCAAGACACAGTAGGGCGCGGCGTCCTACCTGCACGACCCCGATGGCGATCACACACATGCAGAACAGGAAGATGCCCAGAGGCACCTCGGGGAAGGTCACCATCAAGGAAAACTGCAGCCAGAAAGACCCACAACATCAGGGCCCCTGTGAGTCCACTGGGCCGTGCCTGGGCCGCTGCGGAGCCGTCAGGGGAGGGGGCGTCTCTGCCACAGGAGCCCTTGGGCTGAAGCTTGAAGCCTTTAAAGCTGAAGGTTATCAAGCTCATAAAGGCTCCCCACACCCAACCCTCTGTGACGCACTGTGCTCAGAGCATGGCCCTCCCTCCGAATCCAGGAGCTGCTGGGTGAGAAGAGGGTGGGTCACCTGCAGGGATGAGCCCAGGTTGGCCAGGAGGTCGGGGGCTCCCCCCCACCCCCACCCCCACCTGCGCCCCGTGACGGGAACCGGCCGGCTCTTGGAAACCTCTGCAACCAAGTGGTCCAGGGCACCTGCCCATGGGTCTGAGAGCTTTGAGGAGGGCATGTTCTCGGGTCAGTGGAGGGCGGCTGGGCCCGGGGTGGAAGGGGGGCCAGAAGCCCCTGTGACTCACTGTGAACGGCAGGAAGGTGATGGTCATCATGCAGGCCTGGGAAGGGGGTGGGGCACAGCTGAGGGTGGCTGGGGGCCAGCCCTGCACACCCGGGGTTGAGCACCGGCCCTGGCTCCTGGCGGGTGGAGCTCCAGCCCAGGAACCGAAGGAGAAACTCACCAGGTTGAGCAGGGCAAGCGTGTCGTCTATTTTCCCAACAACTTGGAACAACCTGAACAATTCAAGGAAAAGGGCAGAAGTCACTGTGAATGAATGTGGCTCTGACGGCATCAGATACAGACACTCACACGATGGCTTCACGCTGAGATGGGGACACGTGGGCAGAAGACTGGCACAGGCAGGAAGCAGGCACAGTGCCCAGGCCACGGCCTGTCTCAGTCCCCACGCGCTCTCCCCGCTTGGAGCCCCGAGGATGCGGCCTGCTCCCCCCAGGGAGGTCTCCACCTGGTCAGGGCCCAGGGCACCTGAGGGGCCGGGAGCTTCTCTGTCAGAAGCCCAGCCTGCAGCCCCTGCAGCAGAGGGTGGGGGTGCTGCTGAACCCCAGACATTGGCTATGCCCGTGGCCTGCATGGCTCCGGGCAGGACTGGGCCGGGCAGCCCCCGGGCCTCCTTGCTTTCTGTGAGCAAGGGGGCACTTGTCCTCACCAGAAATGACCACTTTGCTGAAAACACGTGTGTGCAGGACGACGCTGAGAGACACTTTCCACCTGGGTGCCGTTGCCTCGCAAGCTCCTTGCCTTCCTGTGCCCCCAGCACCCTGGCGGGGGGCGTCTCCACCCCGGGGGCCTCCTGGACCCCCCTCCCATGGGGCTTGTCAGCAGAACTCCGGGGCCCAATTCCCCTGGGGTCCTGAGGATGCTTTTCCTCAGTGCTGTGCCCAGCACCCCGTCATCGTCTGGGCCTGGGGCGTGCTGCCGTGGCAACATGCCCGTGAAAGCAGTGGTGTGGGTGAGGCCTCCGTGGGGAGCGGGGATGGGCGGCTGCACCCCAAGCACACCCGCCACCAGCCTGACCCTGGGCCAAGTGAGCCCACGCCCGCTGGGTGCACACCCTGCCAGCTGCCTCCCGAGCACAGGCCCCGGCCCGCTGTACCTCGTGTGGGCTGCCCAGGCCACGGTCACGATGAGGAAAGTCATCAGGTAGACAGCAATCCTCGTGGCGAGGAGCCTCTGGACACTCTTGTCAAACTCCTGCAACAGAAGTGCCTCTCATCAACCCCATTCGCCTGGGATGGCGCCCCGCCTGGGGACACACCTCTGGAGGACCCACCCCCACCCACGCTTAGCCTTGTCTGGGCTGGCCCTGGGGCCCCTGCTGACATGCAGGCCCCTGGAATGCCTGCTCTGGAGGCAGAAAGGCCTCAGGCCTCTCCCAGGACCTCGGCAGGTGGCCAGGGGCCTGGCAGCCAGAGAGTCACGGCACTGATAGGTGAGTGGTCCCGAGGCCGTGTGAGGCCTGGCGAGAGGCTGTGTGACCGCATGCTGGGTGGCAGAGAGGGCTCACGCATCACCGTCATCAGAAACTCCAGACGCAAAACCAATGCCTCGCTCTGTCTGCGGGTCCTCTGAGCCCACGTGAGCAGCCCCAGTTTCCGGACCCCCAGGTCCTGTGGTCTCAACGAGCCTTCTCCTTGGCACCGGCTGCCAGCCACGGGGCTCCCGCCCCAGCCCGCGGCACCTGCCCTGAAGGAGTGTCCCAGCCACAGTCTGGCTCAGAGCCCTTCCGGGTCGGTCAGCATGCAGACTGGGGGCTTCTCCACGGTGGTCAGCGGTGAGGCGCTCCAGGCCCACGGGTCCCCGTCACCTTCAGCATTTCCCGCAAACACCTGCCTTCCTGTCCTGAAAGCGGTGGCACTGAAGCCCCCAGAAAGTTCCAGAGCAGGAGTGCCCAGGCCCTGCGGGACCCCATGGGGAGGCAGCTCCCTGGAGCAGAGAAGGCCACACGGCCCTTTGCCAAGGTCATCAGGCTCAACCTGCATCTCGGTCTTGTTCAAACCCCGTGAGAAGCAATGACACCACCTCTCTGACAAGATTCCCAGCAGCATCCAGGCTGGACCCAGACATGCTGGTCATGCACAGACCAGCGCTGGAGGCAACGTCATGGCCACGAGGGGCTGAGCGCAGCACTCGGCACACACACGCCCAGGGACTTGTCCCCTCCTGGGTCAGGGCCACCTCGCAGGGGCTGGACGTGTCGCTGTCTCACCTACCCGGTGGAGACGCTCCAAGCTGACTAGCAATGAAAACTCAGCCTTACCTCCTTTCCCACTCTCCTCTCTGCTCACATGCGGGCCCAGGTCTGCCAGGCTGGTCCCTCCGCTCCCCAGCACCTGCTTGGTGGGCCGTTCCAGGGGCCACAGCACAGAACTAGGGGGCATCCATGCCAGCCACCAGGTGCCCCTGCCCTTCTCAGGTCTCCTCAGGGCTCAGCCTGAGGGCATCGCCTTCATTCACAAGCCAGGATGGGGCTGGCAGGCTCTGGAGGAGACGCAGCGGACAGCCTGGCCCCAGCCCCCCAGCCAGGTGCACCCAAGCAGAGCCCAGCCTTGAGCCCGTGGCCTGAGCCTCCCGGGCCCCCGCCTGAACTCCAATGCTGCAGACCATTCCCAAGTACCTGCTCCGGGGAGATCTCTGTGTGGGTCACGGGCAGGATCTACAACAGACACAGCACAGGTCCAGGGATGCTCCCTGGGCACTGACCACTCCCTGGGCGCCCACGTCGGCACTTGGGCCGGCCCGGGCCCCCCCTTCGCCCCTCAGTGGCCCGGGGCCCCCACGGACCATCACGGTGGCGATGATGGATAGCAGCGCGTCGCTGAAGCTGAGCATGCGATGCGAGTGCTGGATCCCGTCGGCCACGTCGTCCGGCGAGCCCACGGGGGTGTCTTCCTGCCCATTGAGGGTCGGCTCCGGGGTCTGGGGCCTGGACATGATGGAGCCTGGAAAGAAGCACGGGTCTGAGCCGGAGTGGTATTCCTGGGGCAGGTGCCTCAGAGGGGTCTGCTGGGTCCTCCACTAAGTCAACTTCACAGGAAACTGCCAAACCATTTACGGGGTAGCTGCAGGTTTGCATGCCCATCAGCAGGGGGCGAGCTGCAACTGCTCCCCTCCGGGTTTGGAGGCTCTTTATAAATTTGATGACTTTTCAATATTAGCTGTGCTAACAGACATGCTATTTCACCACGATTCAACCTGCACTTCTTATTGACCAGCTGAGTGTTCTCACGTGCCTACTTTTTACTTGTACACCTTTTGTGGTAAAGTGCCTGCTAGAATCTTCAGTTCACTTTTTTGGGGGGTTATTTGTATTCGTGTTGAATTTTGACAATTCTTTCCACATTGTGGTTAGAAGTCCTTTGTTAGATGTGTAATTTGCAGGCGTTTTCTCCAAATCTGTGACTTGCCTTTCTTTCTCTTACCAATCTTCAGGAGGATGTAAGTTTCTTTTTTAAAATATTTACTTATTTGACTGCCTCGAGTCTTCACTGCATCATCCAAAACCAGGGATTGAAACTGCGTCCCCTGCATTGCAAGGATTCCTATCCATCAGGGAAGTCCCTAGAAGAATATAAGTTTTAAATTTTGATGAACTCTTACCACTTTTTTTTAATGGCTTATTCTTCTGGTGTCATATCTAACAATGCTTTGCTGAACCCAAGATCACAAAGATTTTCTGTTTTCTTTTAGAAGTTTTAAAGTTTGAGGTTTGACTTTTGACCTATGATCAATTTTGAGTTTTTATATAACATGCAAAGTATGGTCAAGTTTCCCTTTCCTGCAGATGGATGTCTGGTTATTCCAACACGTCTTGTTTAAAAGACTGTCTCTTCTCCACTGAGCTGCCTTTGCAGGCCCCTTGGTCACAAACTGACAGACACATTCGTGGGGTGTCTCTGGGTTACCCATGCTGTCCAGGGATGAGGCATCTGTCCTTTGCGGCATCACACTGCCTTCATGCCAGCCTCACATCAGTCCTGATGTCTGCTCGAGTTCTCCAGCTTTGTTCTTTTCCAGACCATTTGGATGATTCTCGCTCTTTGTCTCTCCCTCATGGCCTCCCGCTTGTTGAGGCCCCGTTCATAGTTCCTACAGGCAGAAAAATGGGCTATAGCGGCCCTCACTGCCTGGCCCACAACTGGAGCTGGGCTGGGGTCACGGCCAGAAGAGAAGGAGGACTGAAAATCATCGAAGACTCAGACGTGTGTCACTCTTCAAGTTCCAACCCCCCTTTCAAACTGTTGCCTTTGGTGCACGTTTTCTTCTAATATTTTGTCCAGAGTTCTCACCTGTAACCAGTGGGCGGGGCTGGCACTAAACGGAACCCTTTTACTGCACAAAAGGGAGGGAGACGGGAGCGGGGAAAGGGGGGAGGAAAGGCCGTCTGACCAACGGGGCAGAGGGCGGCGCATTTCTTTAGGGCTGACTCTGGGAAACAGACGTCCATCACATAGTTCTCTGCACTTTCTGTATGTGTAAGTTGTTTTCAATTAAATTTTATTCAAAAAATCAGTAAAGATCAAATATAGGCACAGAAATTCTCAACAAAATGTTAACAAATGAAGTTCTGTAACATATAGAAAGAATTATACATCATGCCAAGTGGGATTCATTCCAGGCACGCAAGGCTGGTTTATAATTAAAAAATCAATTACTGTAACACACCATATCAATAGAAAAAAGACAAAAACCATCATCTTAATAAATGCAGAAAAAGCATTTGACAAAATCTAACATTTCTTCATGATAAAAACTATTTGACAAAATAGGAATGGAAGAAAACTTCATCAACCTGATAAAGGGCAAACATCACACTCAATGGGGAAAACCCTGAGAACCATTCCCATCTCAGACCAGTGGCAAGACAAAGGCCTCTGCTCTCCATGTTGTGCTGGGACTTCCAGTCATGCAACGATGCAAGGAGAACAAGCTAGAAGGCACACAGAAAAAGGCAGAACCAGCTCTCTCTGCAGACGGTGTAATTCTGTAACAGCAAAACCCTAAGGAACCCACACAAGGGAGCTATTAGAATAGATGAGTTCAGCAAGGTTGCAGGAAACAAGGTCAATGTATAAGACAACTGCGTTTCTATTCACCAGCAATAACCAACCCTACAATACATTTAAGAAAGCAATTACATTTATAGTAGTCTTAAAAATACTCAGGAATAAATTTTAAAAATGAATATAACACATGGTTGAGATTAAAGAAGGCCCCAATAAATGGAAAGACATCCTCTGTCCATGGATTAGAGAACTTAATATTATTAAGATGGCAATACTTCCCAAATTTACCTACAGATGCAATGCAATCCTTCTCAAAATTCCATCTGCCTTCCACATAGAAATTTACAAGCTGACCCTAAAATCCATATGGAAATGTAAGGAACCTCTGGCTATTTAAGGAGCAGCCAAGACAATCTTGAGAAAGAACACAGCTGAGGACTCACACTTCTCAATTTCAGAACTCAGTGCAAGGCTGTGGTGATCAAGTCGGTGCAGTGCCAGCATAAAGAGAGACATACAGATCAATGCACGAGAACTGAGACTTCAGAGGTAAATCATTGTGTTCACACTCCACTGACTTGCAGTAAGTGTGTCAAGACCATTCAATGGGGAAAGAACAGTCTTTTAAACAAATATTGCTGAGACAACTGGATATCTACACACAAAAGAATGAATTTGGTATTACCTCATGCCACATACAAAAATTAACTAAAAGTGAATGCCTAACTCTAAGAGCTAAGACATTGGAGAAATTCTACATGGCCTCACATTCTGCAAATAATTCTTAAATATAACACCAAAAGCACAAGCAACGACAAAAACAAATTGGAGTTCATCAGAATTGTGACTTTGGTGTGTAAAGGACACTATTAAGAAAAAGACAACCCACAGAATGGGAGAAAATATTTGCATATTATGTATCTGGTAAGAGTCTAGCATCCAAAATATAAATAGAACTCTTAAAACTTAGCAATAAAAAGACAGCACAATTCAAAAAAAGGCAAAGGATGTGAAAAGACATTTCTCCAAAGAAGATATTCCATTGGCCAATAAACACAACAAAAGATGTTCAAAATCATTTGGTTGTATTGGGAAAAGCGAATCAAAACCACAAGACATTCACCACCCCAGGATGGCTATCACACAAATAAATGAAGAACAGCAGCAACTTTTAGCGAGAACATGGAGAAAACAGAACCCCAGTGCACTGCTGGCGGGAATATAACAGGATAGCTGCTGTGGAAAATAGTACAGAGGTTCCTCAAAATTTTAAACAAAGAATTAACATGTTGTTCAGTTGCCAAGTCGTGTCTGACTCTACAGCCTCATCAGCTGTAGCACGCCAGGCTCTCATCCTTCACTAATTCCCTGAGTTTGTTCAAACTCACGTCCACTGAGTCAGTGATGCCATCCAACCATCTCATCCTCTGTCGCCCCTTTCTCTTCTCGCCATCAATCTTTCCCAACATCAGCATCTTTTCCAGTGAACTGGTTCTTTGCATCAGGTGGCCAGAGTATTGGAGCTTCAGCTTCAGTCCTTCCAATGAACATGGAGGACTGATTTCCTCTAGGATGGACTGGTTTGATCTCCTTGCTGTCCAAGAACTCTCAAGAGTCTTCACCAGCACCACAGTTCAAAAGTATCAATTTTTCAGCACTCAGCCTTCTTTATGTCCACTCTCACATCCATACATGACTACTAGAAAAACCATAGCTTTGACTATACGGACCTTTGTTGGTAAAGTGATGTCTCTGTTTTTTTTTTAAATACTTATAATGTATATTTATGTATCATGCCAGGCTCCTCTGTCCATGGGATTTCCCAGACAAGAACACTGAGTGAGTTGTCTGCTTTTTAATATGCTGTCTAGATTTGTCATAGCTGGTGGCTCAGACAGTAAAGCATGTATCTGCCTACAATGCAGGAGACCCAGGTTTGATCCCTGGGTCAGGAAGATCCTCTGGAGAAGGAAATGGCAACCCACTCCAGTACTCTTGCCTGGGAAATCCCATGGACAGAGGAGCGTGGTAGGCTACAGTCCATGGGGTTTCGAAGACTCGGACATGAATGCGCAACTTCAATTTCCTTTCCTTTCTTTCAAGGAGTGAACATTTTTTAATGTTCTGGCTGCAGTCACTGTCTGCAATGATTTTGGAGCCCAAGAAAATAAAAAAAAATTTGTCATTGTTTCCACTTTTTCCCCATCTATCTGCTATGAAACAATGGGACCAGATGCCATGAGAATTAATATAGGATCCAGTAATTCCACTTCTGGGATTGCCACTTCCTCAGACTGGGAGGTGCACCTGAAGTAAGCCAGGAGTAAGTCACAAGGAGCACTTCAGCTCCGTCAGGAGTGTGGAAATTACTGTGAAGACTGTGCAGGGCTATGTACTCTTCTATATATATGTATTATATTCCATACACAGTGTATTATCAGGTATTTTCTCCTAGTGTGGGCTGTCTTTTCATCCTCTCTCATATATATGTGTGTATGTGTATATGTACATATATGTATCTATTTAGAGCTTCCCAGGTGTCTCAATGGTAAATAATCCATCTGCCAATGCAGGAAACATAAGAGATTCAGGTTCTATCCCTGGGTCAGGAAGATCCCCTGGAGAAGGAAATGGCAACCCACTCCACTATTCCTGCCTGGGAAATCCCGTGGACAGAGGAGACTGGCGGGCTACAGCCCAAAGGGTCAGAAAGAGTCAGACACAACTGAGCACGGATGCACATATATATTCAGATCAACAGACTGCTTTTCGAAGTAGTTTTGAGTCTGCAGAATAACTGAAGGGAAAGTGCAGAGAACTCTCAGTCACCAGTTCCCCTGTCCCACTCTCTCCGTCATTAACGTCTGACATTAGCGTGGCTCAGGTGATGAGGCATCATGGACACATGGTTGCATTGTAGCTCTAAGGGTGTTGACAAGTGCACACCTGTGTTCACTGTCACAGTGTCACACGAAAGGGCTTCACAGTCCTGAGGTCCCCCTCGGCTGCCTCTACTCACCCTTCCCTACCCCAGGCCCCTGGCAACCACCCATGTTTCCACTTGTCTCATCTTGCCTTTTCCAGAACGTCATGGAGCTGGAATCCAGCAGTATGTGGCGCTTTCAGAGTGGCTCCTTTCACCTGGTGACATGCTTCTGAGGTCCTCTGTGTCATTTTTGTGGCTTCTGGCTCATTTCTTTTTATCCCTGCATAATACTGTTTTATCCATGTACCAGTTCATCCATTCACCTGCTGAAGCACATCTGCAACATACATTGTGAAGTCCCTAAGTTTGGTGAAGTCCTGTTTATCTACTCTTATTCTTCATTAAAAAAATTTTTTTTTAATTATTTTTATTTTTTTTAATTCTTCATTTTTGTTGTTTATCTACCTTTTTATGGATTGTTCTTTGCTGTCATATTAGAAACTCTCACGAGTGGCTTTCTACAAGTTTTATGTTTGTTTTTTTTCTTTCCATATATGATGCAAGGTATGGATTAAGTCTTTTTTAAATATATGGATATCTGATTTTTCCAGCATCATTTGTTGAAAAGACTATCCTTTCTCCAATTAATTACTTTTATTCAAAATCAACTGACCATATTTATACTTTTGGGTCCACTGATCTACTTATGGATCTTTACACCAACACCACACTATTTAGATTACTGTACTGTTACAAGAACTGAAGTTACATAGTGTAAGTCATAAAAATTTGTCCTTGTTCAAACTTGCTTTGGCTATTCTAGCTCCTATGCTATTCCAAATGAATTTTAAAATCATGTGTCAGTTAAAAACGTACATTAGATTGATTTGATGTACTAACAATACTGAAATTTCTAAATTAATGAATACTGTGTAACTTTCCACTTATTAAGGGTTCTCTGAGCAAAGTTGCCTAAGTTTTTAGTTATAAATCTTGCATATCTATTACAGATTATCTTCAAAATTTACTGTCTGTTGGCACTATTGTAAATAGTGTTTTTTCTAGTTTCAACTTCCAGTATTTGTTGCTATTTGGAAATAGAACTTTTTTTTTGTTTATTAACCTTGTATTCTATAACTCTGCTAAAACCATTAGTTCTAGTAGCTCTTTTTGTAGTTTCCACGGATTTTTTCACCTAGAGTAGTGATTCTCAACTGAGGGCAATTTCCCCTTAAGGGACAATTGCAATGCCTGGAGATGCTTTTGGTTGTGACAAGTGGTATGTTACTGGTATCCAGGGGGCTGAGATAGAGGTGCTGCCAAAGGCCCTATGGTGCACTGGAAACATCACTCCTCAACCCTAATAAGGAACTATCTGGTCCACAATGTCCGTGGCCAAGGCGAGGAAAGTCTGACATGGACTATCATGTTATCTTCAAATAAACAATCTTACTTCTTTCTTTCCAACCTGGAAGCTTTTAATTTCTTGCCTCATTACACTGACTAGAATTTCTAGTATAATGTTGAATACTTGTTACTGATCTTGGAGGGAAAAAAATTCAGTCTTTCATCATTCCATTATGTCAGCTATAGGTATTTCATAGATGTCCTTATCATGCTGAGAAATCTTCACTTTATTCCTAGCTTGCCAACAGTATTTTTTTTTTTTTAATCAGGAATGGATGCTGAATTTTTTCAAATGCTTTTTCTTTAAAAAAAAACTTTTTTTTGGCCACAAGGCATGTGGGATTGAACCTGCACCCCCTGCAGTGATAGTGTGGAGTCTTAACCACTGGATCACCAGGGAAGTCCCCATCAAATGCTTTTTCTATGTCTTGTGTGTGTTATTTGCTTAGTCGTGTCCGACTCGTTGAACCCCATGAACTGGAGCTTGCCAGGCTCTTCTGTCCATGGAATTATCCAGGCAAGAATACTGGAGTGGGTTGCCATTTCCTTCTCCAGGGGAATCTTCCTGACCCAGGGATCAAGCCAGGGTCTCCTGCATTGCAGAGATTCCTTGCCATCATAGCCAGAAGGAAGTCCCTAAATCTTGAGATGACCCATTTGGTTTCCTTTTTCACTGTAATACTGTAAATTACATTGACCCATTTTTGAACACTAAGCCAACTTTGCTTTCCTAAGATGAACTTCACTTGGTCAACGTATTATCCTTTTTATATAGTATTGGATTCAGTTTGCTAAAAAATGTTTTATAAGAATTTTTATTTCTGTTATGAGAATACTAGTCTGCAACTTTCTTTTGTTGTCTGTGTCAAATTTTGGCATTAGAATAATGCTATCCTTATAGAATGAGCTGGCAAACATTTCCTTCAGTTTAAAGAACCCCTATGGAATTGATAATATTTCTTCTTTAGTTTGGTGGAATTCCCAGGAAAGCCATCTAGGCATGGAGTTTTCTTTGAGGAAAAGTTTTTAACTATAAATTCAATGCTTTAATAGTTATAGGGCTATATTGGTTTTTCTATTTCTTCTGGAATGAGTTTTAGCACTGTCTTCCAAGGAATTTGTTCCCTTAGTGCAAGTGATTGAATTTATTGGCAGAAAGTTGTTCATGTTCTCTGATTACCCTTTTAGCAATGACATCATCACCTTCATTCATGATATTGTTAATCTTTTTTTCCCCTTGTTCAACCTGGCCAGCAATTACTCATTTTATTTATCATCTCAAAGAATCAGCTTTTGGTTTCATTGATTTTTCTCTATTGTCTTTTATTTATTTCTGCTCTGATACTTATCATTTCCCTTTTTGTACTCAAGAGTTTCATTCGTTCTTATTTTTCTAGTTTATTAAGATGAATGATTTGAGACAACTTTTGAAATGCTGCATTTTCATTTTTTTCATTCAGTGTAAAAGTTTAATTTCCCTTATGATTTCTCCTTTAATCTATGGATAATGTACGAGTCAATAGGTTTTTAAATATTTGGATGATTTTCCACATACATGCTATCAATTTCCAGCTTATTCCATAGTGCTCAGGGAACATATTTGCCCAGAACATGATACATCTTGGTAAATGTTGTTTATATATTTGATAATGTGTATCCTACAAATGGCCATTAAGTCCAGTTGGTTGATGGTATCACTCAACTCTGCCACATCCTTGGTCATTTTCTGGGCATTTGTTCTGTCATTATCTGAGAAAGTAGTACTGAAATTTCCAACTACAACTGTGGGTTTGTCTTTCTCTCCTTGCAGAACTATCAGCTTTTGCTTCATGTATTTTGAAGTTTTATTATCAGAGACAGAACTGTTTAGGATTGTTACATCTTCTAATGAATTTACCCACCCATCATTATTAAACCCTTCTAACTTCTGACTGTAGTCTCTGTCATGAAATCTACTGGAGGGACCGGTTTGGTGACCAGGACTGTGCACACAGCCTCAGACTGCATGAGTGAGGGAAGCCACCTCAGAGCACAGGGCTGAGTCCAGGGGGGAGTGTGGTCCAGAGACACAGAACTGGGTCAAGGCGGCGCTCCTGCAGCTCCTCAAGCAGCATCAGTAGAAAGAGTGCTCCACCAACGTGAAACACAAAGTCTGAATAAACTCTCGTCCCGAGGGAGCCACACTGTCTAGAAATCTGCACCTGGCTGTAGGTCACACCAGCACAACCCACATCCTCTGAACTCAAACACACCCTGGGCAACACCATGCTTTCCTGTGTTATTCACTAGGTTTCCCACAAAAGCTACTTTAGATCTTTTTCTCACTGTTTCAATCTTAGCTGTCTTACCTCCCTTCTCAATTTCAGTAGATGTTTCCTTCTCCTTATTCACAGGGAAAAGAGAAGTCATTAGAGAATTCCTTCACTTTAATTCCAAAAAACATATAAAGTTACTTCACCTTCCTCCATTTCCTTTTATGAAGAGAAGCAATTTTCCAAAGCAAATGCTTCCCTATGCTCTGGATGTCATCCCCGCCCACCTTCTACAGGACCACTGTGCACCTGCCCCGACTCTTTGCTCTCCACACCAAGGCACTGAGTTACCTCCACTTACCCTCTCTTTCTTTCTATACTCCTCCCCTTAGGTTAAAGGGAGCTTGCCAATGAAACAATGTTATTCTTGGCAAGGTCACCAAAGATCTCATTGTTGCTAAGTCCAACATACAACTTTCACTCTCTTCCCTTCTTTAAAACAGTATGTGTCACTTCTAATTACCCTCCCTCCCTTCCCCCCATCTTCCTGCGGCCCTGGGACTCAATGCTCTTAGTTTTATTCCTGCTTCCTTGGCTGTTCCTCCCCTCTGAGGACTGCATCTTTCTAACTACCGTGTCCCCTCAGGGCTCTCTTCAACTGCCACCTATATGCTGCTGCTGCTAAATTACTTCAGTCGTGTCCGACTCTGTGCGACCCCATAGACGGCAGTCCACCATGCTCTGCCGTCCCTGAGAATCTCCAGGCAAGAACACTGGAGTGGGTTGCCATTTCCTTCTCCGATGCAGAAAAGTGAAAAGGGAAAGTGAAGTCGCTCAGTCGTGTCCGACTCGTAGCGACCCCACGGACTGCAGCCTACCAGGCTCCTCCGTCCACGGAATTTTCCAGGCAAGAGACACCCAAACACAACCTGACTCCTTGAGCCCCCAACCCTTTTATTCCATTTAGCAGACGAACGCTGGCTGGAGAAGCCGTCTGACTTGTGTGGACTTTAAGCTGTATCACTAACTATCCAGACCCCGGCCATCTGGCCATGTAATGCCACTGCGGAGCACGTTTTGTCACCCCAAAGGCGGTGGGGTGGGGTGGGAGTTCGCCGAGATGCTCCAGGGTCACTAAGGCAAACACTTATAAAAGTGTTATAAAAGGATGTGGCAAGCAGTAAAGCCCCGTACGAACTAACCTGCTTTATTACAAGGATAACACACGCTAGTCTGTCTGGAGAGACATCTTTGTTAAGCTCCGGGCGGGTGACAATGCTGTCTGGCGATCCGGCTCCAAGGCCTCGCTCCGGGACCAGGAAGCGGCCCAGGGGCCAGGCGAGCGGTGCTATCTTACCTGAGGGGGCAGCTCTAGGTGGTGGGCGACACCCGGGAGTCTGGGTCCAGTGCCGCCAGATCTGACTTTTTTCTACAGAAGCTACCAATCTCGGTTTCTAAAATTGAGCTTTTCAGTTCTTTAGTGGGAACCAACGCAAAAAGACGGACATTGCCAGCGCCCCGGCGCTCCGCGCACACAGCCCACTGCTCCCGCCGCGCAGCCCTGCCCCGGGAGCTCCCAAGCGCCAGCGTCCGCGGAAACGGCCACGCAGGAACGGTTGGGCGCCAGGCCGGGGGCGAGCCTCCGAGGGGCGACCGCCGCAACCAGCAGGCGCGCGACCCGGAAGTCCGCCCGAGCCCCGCAGGCGCGCGACCCGGAAGTCCGCCGAGGCCGCGGCGCCGCGCACGCGCGGCCCCGGCGCGGCGGAAGTGCAGCGCCGGTGCTCTTCCGGGCGGGGCGCGACCCCCGCGCCTGCGTCGCGGCGTCGGGCGGAAGCTGGTGCGGCTCGCGAGCGGCGGTTGCCGAGTGCACCCGGACGCGCGGGGACCCCGAGCCCTCGGGCCGGCGCCCGCCGCGGGCCGCCGCCATGTCGCTGCTGCAGTCCGCGCTCGACTTCCTGGCGGGCCCGGGCTCTCTGGGGGGCGCGGCCGGCCGCGACCAGACAGACTTCGTGGGGCAGACGGTGGAGATGGGCGAGCTGCGGCTGCGGGTGCGCCGGATCCTGGCCGAAGGTGAGGGCGGCCGCGGCCGGTAGGGCGGCGACTGCGGGGGAGGAGGCCGGCCGCGGGTCGGGCACTTCCTTGTCGGAGGCTAGGGGTCAGGCCGGGCCGTGGCAATCCTGCCGGCGGGTGTGGGCCGACCCCCGGCCAGGGCGGAGGCTAGCCCGGAGGGCGGGACCCCACGCCGCTGGAGGCTGGAGTTTGGAGGCGGGCGGTGCGGCGGGAGCAGGCGAAGCCGTGGCCCCTCTTGCTCCGAGGGCCACGGTGGGTGGGCGGACGCAGGGCCGGCCCCCTGGCAGACAGGCGCTCGGGCGTGGGTGGCCGTAGTCCTGGCCTCCTCAGGTGCGGGGACACACTGTGCGGTGCCAGCTAGCCGCGCTGCCTCTTCGCCCCTGATCGTCCCTCTCCCCGGCTCTGTCTGAGACCCCAGGCGAGTTTCCGCAGGACGAGCCAACAGGTGTGACCGTTGCGGACCTTGCCTGGCAGGCCGGTCAGGGCCGTCTTCGGTACTTCCGCATGCCCTCTGGCTTTCTGAATGCCCTCTTTACTTCACGCAGAGTTTCTCACCCCTGTTTGTGCAGCTCGGCTTCCTCGGCCAGATTTTGCTCCTTTGTCTGGCCCGGCAGATTCCCCTAGCCGTTGCACTTACCAGCTGAAGGCGTGGCTTTGGGGCCGGTGCTGAAGCCGGGCTTATCACTTGCTGCCACCTGTGCTCAGTTTGAGCTTAGGAGTGCTGGCTGTTCTAGTGCCCCCCTTCCTAACGGCCTCAGGTGGTGCTAAGGCCAGAGCACCACCACACACTTTTTCTCCACTGTCAGAAACAGATTTTGGGTGTGACTGGGTGAGAAAACCTCAGGTTCTTCTTTCCGATGTGGAGGCCAGTGTATCTAGTAATGAGAAGTGTGCCCCCCTCCCCCATCACTTCATTTTTTCTGAAAATACCAGGCAAGTATTTTGAATCTTTAAGAAATTCACAGTGCTCAGCACATGGTCTCTACCTTGTGGAAGTTCTGAGACACAGGCTCTGATGACCAGAGGTCAACAAAGTGCGGGGGGCGTCCCCTGGTGGGTATACAGTGGGCTCAGCTGCAGGGCTGGTGGAGGAGGCCGGGGCGGGGGCGGGGGGTGGGGGAGGTGGCTCAGAGAGAGAGGAAGCTCCTTTCAGTGGCTTGACCCCCAGGATGAACAGGGAGAGCGGGCACCCTAGCTGTGTAGCACTTGTTCCCTTTGTTCTCCCAGCAGGTCAGGAGCTGTGGATTTCCTGCACTTAAACTGAAGTGGTAGCCCAGGGCTTCTGAAGCTCGTGAAGCTGTTTTTGAACTGGGACAGTAGGAAACCTGTATGAAGTCCTTCACATAAAATAGCAACCTTAGGATGTGGGCTGTGGGCTTCCGGTTGTCTTCTATAAATATGGGGAAGGTTCAGTTCAAAACTTTTGGGTACCTATATGGACAACTGCGGAATTTTTCAGGTTTTCGAAAGGTAGAGTGTAGCCTGTAGGTTCTGGGATATTAGGGCTGAGAGTTGGGAAACAATTGTGTCATCAAATGTACTAGTATTCAGTACTCCTGTAATGAAGTAAGTGTTCTCATTGTGGGGTAATTAGGTCTTCAAATAGTCTCACATCAGTTCATGTTGGGGTTGTCCCAGCTGAGTTTCTCATCAGATTTTGCTCTCAAATGATTTAGGGAGAAAGCATTGGTTTTCATAGCTTTTTGCAATTTATAGCCTGAAATGGGTTGTTGAGTAGAACTGTGGAGCTAGATAGCTTTTCAGAATTTGTTCTGAATTTTCACTTTTTAAGAACAGACGGGCTTCCCTGGTGGCTTAGACGGTAAAGAATCTGCCCGCAGTGCAGGAGACCCAGGTTCGATCCCTGGGTCGGGAAGATCCCCTGGAGAAGGGAATGGCAGCCCACTCCAGTACTCTTGCCTGGAGAGTCCCGTGGACAGAGGAGCCTGGTGAGCTGTAGCCCATGAGGTCGCAGAGTCCATGAGTCGGGCGTGACTGAGCGACCGACGCACACGAAAGCAAAGTGCTGGGAACCCCCTACGCCAGAGCTGCCCGGCTGAGTGACCCGGGGACACTGGCGTGTCCTCCTGCTTGGATGCTGTGTGCTCACGCCTTCTTCCACCAGAAAGGCCGAGAGTGAGGGGTTGCTGCTTCTGAGGAGCTCGATCTCAGGGCTGCCAGCTCTGCGGGGCCGGTCCACTGTGTGGACTCGCTCCTGGGGTGGACATGGGCTCTCGGGAGGCGAGCACAGCGGCACAGCGGTGGTGTCTGTGGTCAGATGTCCCGTGAGCTCTGTCAGGCAGCGTGTGTCTGCTCGGACACGTGTGTGCTGGGCGTGGTGTCAGTGGTATTGGATGAACTTATGTGGTCCCTGCGCGGAGTCCGTGTTCCCTGTGGGTGATGCTGGCCCGAGGAGGTGTGAAGGCCCACGCCCGCCAGCTCCAGGCTGGGTCCACTCCTGAGGCCCTGCTGCTGCTCCACAGCTCCTGCGGATTTCTTCTCTGCCCGCGGGGCCTGTCCTGACTGCAGGAGGGCATGGCGGTGGTGTGTGATGTGGACTGAGGTGGACGTGATGGGGGAGAGGACTGGGCCCTCCTCTGCAGGGCACCACTGGGGGGTTTGTCGGGGGCCGCTGGGCTGTGGTGGCCCCTGCGGACCCCCCTTTCCACTTGGGAAGCGTGGCTGAGCCCTGAGCCCCATGGCTCGCTGGTCTTGTAGTTCTGGTGTCTTCTCTCTTGAGCGTTGGGGTCTTGTCATCCCTCTGTCTTTGCCCTTGACTCTGGGCCTGGAGGCCTGAGTGTGGGGACCCTTCTCTGCCAGGGCGGGTTCCAAGTGGCTGTCTCCTCCCAGATACCGCGGAGCACACAGCCAGCTCTCACCGCAGGGCTGTGGGCTCGGGCGGCTGCCTGTGGCCCTCAGGGCGCGGTGGCCCCGCCTCGTGTCCCCCTCAGCTGGCCCTGCCCCTGCATGTAGGCGGCTTCAAGGTTGGCCTTTAATCGTGGTGATGTTGCCCAGTGTAAAACAGTAGTGGCCCCCACAGCAGCACTTGTGGGGCTCCTGGCTACGTGGGGGCGGTCACAGTGCTGGTGCTGAGCTCAGGGCTGCTGGGAGCCTGCCAGGCCGCCAGGGGTGATGGTGGAGCCGGGCGGGAGCCCATGAGAGGCTTGGTCTGAGGGAAGGCGTGGGTCCATCTCAGCTGTGTCCTGCAGGGAGCGGTATCCAGAGGGAGTCCCGGTGAAAGCAGCTGTTGGCGCGGGGTTGCTGGGGGCCAGCTGGGAGCCCAGTGCAGAGGCTGCTGCACTGTGAGGCCTGTGGTCTTTCCCCAGCACACGTCTGCGGGCGCGTGAAGCGGGCCGGGGGAGGTCACCCTGGGCGGGACTCTTCGGGGAGGCGTGCTCCTCCTCCTGCTGTCTGGGTCTGCTCTCCTTCAGGGCACCCCGTCTGTGTGAGCATGCCTGTCCCTGCAGGAGGGTGATGAGCTTGTGTGTAGTGGGGCTCTTGGAATTCTGCTCCATGGAAGTGTCTGCTTCTCAGCAGCAGTGCTGAGAAAGTGTGTCAAGGTCACCTGACCTGCTTCCCACGCTGCGGCGTCACCCGGCCTGTGGTTCGCTGTCCCACCAGCAGGCCCCACCTCCCCTGGCCCCTGTCTGTGACCCTGCGCTGTGGGAGGGATGGTCACCCGCCACCTCGGAGGCCCTGCCGGACTCCAGCCGCCCCCACCCTCCTCATTTTAGCGGGTGTAAGGAAAGAGCAATTTAGGATGGTGGGGTCAGCCTCTCGCCCCATGTTTTGTAAACACGTGGTTATACAGTAGCCGGGCTCACTTATGGCAGCGCGCATGCGCCTCACGAGGCCTCCTGCCCCCCCCCCCCCCCCGTTTGGCCATGGGCCACTTTTGGTCTATAAGCACGTATAAGCCCCACCTGAAAAGCCCTTGCGTCTGCACTGGGGCCACCCCGGAGAGAATGATCGTGTCTCCTGTTGCTGCCGCTCCTGGAGTTTTCTTCCAGCTTCCCTGCTCTCACCTCGCCTGTTCTGGGTTCAGCGAACAGTGAGATACAGCAAGACAGTTGGTGTGGACAGCAGGATACCCAGCGGCAGGGAAGCCTGAGGCTCCAGTGGATGGAGGAAGCTGGCGGCCACCGCAGAGCAGGCGGCGTGACTGGCTGCGGCCTCTCGGCGTGGGCCGTGGCGGCTGGGTGCGCTTGCGGTGGCTTCATGGGCTTGAAGCTCGGCTCCCTTTCCTGCTGCGGTCTGCTGGCTCTCTCCTGCTGTGGACCTTGGTGTGTTTTCCTGTTTGGGATTGTTAAAAATAAAGCTCCCAAGGACATTTTTTACTGTATGTGCGCGTGTGAATGTGTTTTCCTTTCTTTTGGGTAAAATGCCCAGGAATGGATTGTGGGCTTGTAGTCGGATGGAGGGCTGACTTTACATGAAACAGCCAAACCCTCTCCCCTTGGGCTTTGCCACCTGCTGCCCCACGGCCTCCCCAGTGTGTGAGTGTCCTGACTATACCCGTTCTCCAGGGCCTGCAGTGGCTGAATCTGCATCTTCTCCATGGTACTGTGCTGAACATTTTTTCACCCATTAGTCACTTGTGTATCTTTTTTGTGTGTGTGAAATGTTTGTTAAAATCTTTTTTCCATTTTTTTGAGGGGGGCAGGAGTTGTGGGAGTATTTTTTTTTTAACTGTGGTATAATGAGAATTTCCTGACTACTTATGGATAAACCTGGGAGTATCTGTTCTAGATCCAAGTCCGGTTTTTATATAACATACATACACAGAGACACACGTGTGTGGGGAAGTGAAGGTAAGCCATTTCTTAATTCCAGAACATCAGTTCAGTTCAGTTGCTCAGTTGTGTCTGACTGTTTGCGACCCCATGGACTGCAGCACGCCAGGCCTCCCTGTCCATCACCAACTCCCAGAGTTTACTCAGACTCATGTCCATTGAGTTGGTGATGCCATCCAACCATCTCATCCTCTGTTGTCCCCTCCT